TAAAATGAATCATTCATGTTTCAGTGGTGCTTTTGGGTGTTTATTTTTCTATGCTTCTGTACTGGGAAAGGAGACTTCATATCAGGAATTATGGGAGAATGCCTGGCATTTAGTGTAGTGAGGTTCAGAGCATCAGAGTAAAATGAATCATTCATGTTTCAGTGGTGCTTTTGGGTGTTTATTTTTCTATGCTTCTGTACTGGGAAAGGAGACTTCATATCAGGAATTATGGGAGAATGCCTGGCATTTAGTGTAGTGAGGTTCAGAGCATCAGAGCAGTTGACATTATAGACTTCAAAGAGTGCTGCTGGATTGGGAGTCTCCTTGAGAGAGGATTATTATTTTTTAATTTAATAATTTCACTTATTATTTGACATCAGAAAAAGATATGCTTGGGGTTGAAAATATTTGAACATGGAGACTATGTTCAGAATAAGGATTGCCTGAGACCTGGAGCTTGCCATAATAAATGGGAGCAGATTATGTATTGTCAAATTCAATATATCAATGAGAGTGATGACTCAAGTGGAGATTCAGATTGTCTGATTGGGTTCAGTGTTGAATAATGTCAAATAGAAGGTTAAAAAAATTAGAGTTGAAGAAATGCTAGGTATCAAGGTACGAGTAAACCATGGATTTAATGCAACTAAAAAGAAAAATGGAAGTAAAGAGGTTTATTACGAATAGCATGCTATCTGTCAATGCGCTATATCAATCTCAATTCGTCGTCCTAGTTGGTCATAATATATCTTTAGCTTAACAGGAACATGATTTTCATGAGTCTTTCGATTGTCTGTCCCAATCAACGAGTCCGAGCCCAATGCAATCTATTTTACGCTGTGCATATGGAGTGGAATATTGTTACCTAACAGGTTCAATTTGTGGAGTTGGATTCTGTTTATAAATTCTCATGGCTAATTCTACACTTCATGGAGTTATTGCTTTAATTCATTCAAATAATGTACTGATTGTATGATGTCCTCAATTTATTCAGATCACAAATATGGTTGAAAGTGCCCATATTCCAGTTGACTTATAAAGGAGAAATCTTATTAGCAATCTAAGTATTATTTTCACAATTTCTTATTAGCAAATCAGACTAATTAGGTTTCTAAGTTGGATCAACATGCATAAGGAATATTCAAGCTCTCAGAATGCAAGATAACTTCTAAGGAAACTATTTTGGCCTAGTGTTTACCAGACTTGAGTCGTTTGAACAATTTACATGATGTGTTCTTGGCAGCAAAAATCTCTTGACTATCCTACTACTGCATCGTCTCTCTCCAAATCATGATCTTCCACCTACCAAGTATCATAGTATTATAACGGGAAGATAATAGTTATTCATTGTAATGCTTATTTGGGGATGTCACTTCTATTACTCAATTATCATGTTTCCCAAACAATGTGAAAGTATCCTTACAGAAATTATCTTTATATTGTTGTTCTACAGTTTATTAACCTAAAGTCTTAAATTCTTCTTGAAAATGGTTACAGGGGAGGGCAGTGGAATTCTGGCGGTCAGTGTCACAAGGAAACTGAACCAATCTTCAACGAAACTTTCCTCTCAAAATACCCTGCAAAGATGAGAGCTGCTGAGAGTGTTTTTGAGCAGATGAAGACACCGGTGATTTACCTCAACATCAGTAGGCTTACTGACTATAGGAAAGATGGGCATCCTTCAATATACAGAAAAACATACAAAACAACTGAAGAGCATAAAGCTGCAGAGATGACTCAGGACTGCAGTCACTGGTGCCTGCCAGGAATACCAGACACATGGAACGAGCTGCTCTACGCTTCTCTACTCCTGAATGGCAAAGGATCATGGAGGCTATGAATTTAACTCATGCATTTTAGAGATGATGACAAGGATTATGTCGAAGAAAAGGAAAAGGGAAGACCACCTAACAGGAGTTGCTCAAACTCGATAACCATTTTTTGATTTTTATCGAAGATGTCAAATTCCTGAATTCAAGCATTGGTGCATACACAATTCTATACTGAGGTTTTGTCCCATCCTCCTACCCCTTAATTGTTTGAACATGACCGAAATTTGAGAGGCTTTCACTCTGAGGAAGTTTTGCTTATAATGTAATAAATATAGGCTTTGTCATTACCAATGAGAAATTTTAAATTTTGTATGTATACATCATTTTCTGTGTACTGGTAGCACCAAAAAGGAGCACAGAAGAGCCAACATTGCTAGAAATATAATCAGAAATCCATTAACACGATAACAAGACCCGTAATGAAAACATTGCAGCTGCGCTAGTTCAAATGAACCTGAGCAGTGATTATTTGCTAGGAAACAAGCACAGACTTCCACAACGCCAAAGCTAACAGAAGTTGCACATAATTATTTATTGAAGGAAGAACTTGAAACGGAAACGAAGAGAAATTGGTTTCCAATACCGCCTTTTGGATGACTTGCCGGCTTGCCATGCTTCAGTTACCAGGTACAGATAACTGTAACACGAACAAACTGATAAAGATTAGGGAGAACAAAGCTTGACAAAACTTTCAAGCTCCTCTATTCCTCCCTCTAAGTTATCTTGTTCTTTCTCAAGATCCATGGATGGACTCTTGCCAAAATTCTTCCACGGCCAGCATCAGCCGAGGGCTCAGAAGAAAAGCACAGTGTTTTAGGAATCTGATGGGATCCTACAAACTTCAGTGAGGAAGTTAGAATCAAGGTGCGAGGTGTTGACCTATAAATAGAAGATGCTGATTGTGAAGTGGAGAATAGATCATTGACCCCTTGGTATAAAATAATCTGTTTTCTTTTTCTCTCCTTCTTCACATTGTTCTTGCCTTTTGTACTGATTGCATTTGTTTTTCATTTCTGTTAGTGCGCAAGAATGTGAAGTGTGACCTTTCTTTTTAATTCTCCAGGAAATGTCATTGCTATCCTCTTGAAATGAGAACAGTATCACTTTCATGAGATGTTTCTTTCATAAGTATAGCATGGTTATAACCATTCAGATAATCATCAAATTGCACCCATATTATTTATCCTCATTTATCCTTATGATTCTGTTTCTGATCATTCAGCAAGCTTCCTAATTGCTCTCAGTGTGTTCCTGACTGTTCTGATGCCTCCCATGTATTCTCATCTCTTATCCTCTCCTCTGCAAGCTTATTTTATCTCTACTCATGTTGCCTAATTCAATTACTTGCATAATTTAGTGTCTGAAGGGTATTATCGTCTAAGAGAATCTTGTAGGGCAGAAGAACCACGTTCTCTTGGAACATTTCCTCTCTCTTTCGAATATTGACTCTCTACTTTCTTGGTGTATCTGTGCATCCACTACCTGAAGCTTATCCCGAACTTTTCCTCTCTTTCACTCCAAAACCTTATAATCCTCCACTACTTCCTCTTTTCAATCTAAATTATCATTTAAAAAAAAAAAACTTTTGAGCTGATTTAGCTCTACAAGCAAAGGATCAACAACGCCCCCACTATGGAAAAAGGAGCGTGAGCAGATTTGTTAGTGGATCAAAGCCATCAACATGACCAAAGTGGAAGTTTACTCCATGAGAGAGTGAAGGAGGGGCCTCCAGCCCCTACAACTTACTAATAATGTTTTTAATCTGAACCTTCTCTCTTCTCTTTTAACAAAAGGGCAGTTGCCTCCTCAGATGTGCACCCAATCATAACACTTGGACTATCCACTCATGCTCAACTTTCTCTTTTGCACCCACTACACTTTGACGCAAACAAACAAGCACTCCTTTATTCAAAGACACCTTTACATCTGTGAAGAATTTGTGCATCTTCAACACTAGCTTGTTTTGATTCTTTATTATGCAGATATCAACACATATTTTGTCGTCAAATCTGATGGATAAGGATACATATTAGGATGCGAAAAGAGGGTTGATACAACTAGATTATGTTGTGAGCCTAGGCGCGTCGTGCCTTTTATCATTCATGATTATAAATGGGATTGACTATAATAAAAATCAGTTATGACATATAATTGGAACAAGCTCTTGGTTCTGCAATCTTAGTATATCATAAGGCAGTCTCATATTTTCTAAAAAAAATGTCATCAAAATGAACATCATGGAAATACAGATAATTGGATAGTCGCGTACCCGTACAAAAGCTCCATTGCCCTAACAAAAATGAGCTTCAATTCTTGGAGCCAAACTATCCACGAAAAGAAGCAGAATCAGACTCTAGAAGACTATCCACCCTACACATGTACAGGGGAGGGTTCAAAATTTCTAATGACTTTCTATTTGGATTAAGAATTTAAGTGTCCCAGATGAAATTAATTTTTCCTTCAATTTAAGGTTAATCTCCACAAGGTCCCTCCATATGCCAGCACAAAGTTTCTCTATGCATGGTTCTGCCAATTTGATCAACTTAATAGCTGAAAGAAACCTGCAAATTTGAGGTAGCAAACAACTTGTTATTGTTAGATCTAATATTTGAGATCTAAATCTTAAAGCCATGATTAATTCAAAGAGATTAACAAGAATCAAAAGGTGCAGAAGCATATACCTGAATCCATTGAGGAAAACTTGATTAGGGTTTTGATGATCTTCTAACCTTAGAGTTTCTTCTGCTTAAGATCTCTTTAGATGGGGATAAGAGAATGAGAGTGGCTAACCCTAGATTAGGGACCATAACTCCATATATATAGGTGTTGTACATTTATAATTTGGCCCCTCATCAAATTACAATTACAATCTGGTATCTGCACATATAACCCCATGATTTATTTAAATACCCATTAACCCAAATTGATTGATCACTTTAAGTGGGTTATCCTTAAAGATAACAATACACATTGATTAATCATATGTGCCCATAAATAGATTTAATTAGATTTAAATCCAACAATCTCCCACTTGGGCACCATATGATTCCTTAAATTGTGTATAACCTTATGAGCTCAAAATTGCTATCACTGAAAAGGTATTTCCGAACAATCTCGTCCATTGACTATATCAATATAGGATCAAAGCAGCCTTCGTCACATTTATCGTGACTCGACCCATCAATGGTCACATATACCAATACAATCAAACGACATAGATCAATCATGGATGTGCAGCATGAAAATTACATACAATGTGATCAGTACAAGTCTATTTTCAACTGGTCCTACTTTAGTGAGGTCAAAACCAAACATAATGTAACAAAGTGTCTTAACTGAATACTTTATTCTGATCAGACAATACAACCAAACACAAAACATCAAAAATTACAAACTCCCACTAAATCATGATATCCTCGAATATCATCATACCCATATGAGCAGTGTGCTCATGAAAGACCTTGTGTGGCAATCCCTTAGTAAGAGGATCTGCTATCATGGAGTTTGTCCCAATGTGCTCTATGGATATCTATCCACTCTGTACCCTTTCTTTCACAACCAGGAACTTAATGTCAATATGTTTTGACTTAGTTGAGCTCCTGTTGTTATTGGAATATATTACTGTAGATTTATTATCACAATATAACCTTATTAGTCTTTCCACATTTTTCAGAATGCACAGTCCCGTGACAAAATTTTGTAGCTATATTCCCTGATTGGATGCCTCATAGCAAGCTACAAATTCTGCTGCCATAGTGGAGGAAGTTATGAGTGTCTGTTTAACACTTTTCTATGATATAGCTCCTCTTGCTAACATATAAATGTAGCCTGATGTAGACTTCTTGCTATCTTGGCATCCAGCAAAATCAGAATCAGAGTACCCAATGACCTCTAGCTATTCTGATTTTCTGTATGTGAGCATATAATCTTTTGTTTTTTGAAGATACCTCATAACCCTTTTGACTGCTATCCAATGATCCATACCAGGGTTGCTTAAGTATCTGCCTAACATCCCAACAATGTACGCAATATCCGGATGCGTACATACCTGAGCATACATTAGACTTCCTACAGCCGAAGCATAATGAATCTTCTGTATTTCCTGAATTTCAAGGTTGCCTTTAGGGTACTGATTGAGACTAAACTTGTCTCCTTTAGCCACAGGGGTGTCTACTGGTCTGCAATCTTGCATGCCAAATCTTTTAAGTACTTTATCGATATAGCTCTTTTGTGATAATCTAAGTATATCTCGAGAGCGATCTTGATGTATCTGGATTCCTAATATAAAAGAGGCGTCCCCGAGATTTTTCATCTCAAAATTCTTTGATAAAAATCTTTTGGTTTCGTGCAACATACCTATATCATTAGTGGCAAGCAATATGTCATCGACATACAGAACCAGAAAAAACAGAACCAGAAAAATATATTTACTCCCACTGAACTTGTGATATACACAGTCATCAACAATGTTCATCTTAAAACCGAACGAGATAATTATATACACAGTCATCAACAATGTTCATCTTAAAACCGAACGAGATAATTATTTGTTGAAACTTGTAATACTATTGACGAGGAGCTTGCTTGAGTCCAAAGATGGATTTCCTTAATTTGCAAATCATATTCTTTGGGTCTCCTGACACAGTTTTCTGGTTGCACCATATAAATCATCTCATCAATATCGCCATTGAGAAATGCAATCTTAACATTCATCTGATGTAACTCAAGATCATAATGAGCAACAAGTGTCATGATTGTTCTGAAAAAGTCTTTCGATAAAACCGGAGAGAAAGTCTCTGTATAATCAATGTCTTCCTTTTGAGTAAATCCTTTAGCTACAAAACATGCCTTATACCTCTCCATATTACCATTTGTATCCCGCTTGGTTTTAAAAATCTATTTACAACTAATTAGTTTTGTATCTTCTGGTAATGGAACAAGTTCCCAAACCTTATTGTCTTGCATAGACTTGTACTCTTCATTCATGGCATGAGAGTTAGACCTTTTCATGGCCTGAGAGAAGTTGATTGGATCATTTTCCAACATTCCATTACTTTCCTTATGTTCTTGGAGAAATACAATATAATCATCCGAAATAGCATTTATCCTTTCTCTCGTGGATCTCCTTAATGGCACTGGTTCTTGAGTTTGTTCAGTTTGTTCTTCTGGAACAGGGAGTTGTTCAACATTGTCATCTTGAGGTTTCAGATTTACTTCTTGAGCAACAACAGCAGGTATATGAACCTGAATATTGTCAAGAGTAACTGTATGAATTGGATCTGAAGCCAATTCCTCCTCAAAAGCAATGTCTCTAACCTTATTTCTCCCCCCAAACTCAACATCCTCAAAGAATGTTGTTGTTCCCGTCTCAAAAATATTCCTGAGTGTGGGATTATAAAACTTATAGCCCCTAGAGCGTTCAGAGTACCCAATAAAATAGCTGCAAACTGTTTTGAAGTCCAATTTCTTTTCATTTGGCCTATAAGACCTTACTTCAGCTGGACATCCCCAAATATGTAAGTGCTTTAAACTGGGCTTTCGACCAGTCCAAAGCTCATAAGATGTTTTAACAACTGCTTTACTTGGTACTCTATTCAGAATATAAGCTGCTGTCTTTAGTGCTTCTCCCCAGAGTGACTTTGGTAAAGAAGAATGAGCAATCATACTTCTTACCATATCCTTAAGAGCCATGTTTCGTCTTTCAGCTACACCATTCATGCTAGGTGAACCCGGCATGATGTACTATAGGACAATATCGCATTCCTCTAGGTATCTAGCAAATGGTCCTGGACGTTGTTCATCTGAACCATCATATCTGTCGTAGTACTCACCACTACTATCAGATCTAACGATTTTAATTCTTCTGTTGAGTTGATTCTCAACTTCAGCTTTGTAGGCTTTGAACATGTCCAGAGACTCAGATTTTTCATGAATAAGATATAGGTACCCATAACGTGAGTAATCGTCTATGAATGATATAAAATACTGTTGACCATTTCAGGATGCTATAGGAAATGGCCCACAAATATCCGTATGTATCAATTCTAAGACATCCGAAGATCTGTTGGCACCTAATATCTTAACTTTGGTCTGTTTTTCCTTGATACATTCAACACATACGTCGAAGTCCAAAAAATCAAGGGAATCCAAAATGCCATCAGACACAAGACACTCAACTCTACCTTTTGAGATATGACCCAAGCGCTTATGCCATAATGTTGCTGAATTTTCTTTATTTAATTTACGCTTAGTACCACGTGATTCCACATGCAAGGATTCATTATAAGAAACAATTGTATCAAGCAAATATAGGTTGTCATATGTACTCAAGTAACCGGTTCCCATAATATTTGAATTAAAAGATAATCTGAATTGACTATTTTCAAATGAACAATAATAACCTGATTTGTCCAATACAGAAACAGAAACAAAATTCCGTCTAAAAGACGGTACTACAAAAGTATCTTTTAAGTCCAAATAAGAACCAGTTCATAATAGCAACCTAAAATGCCCAATTGCTTCCACATCTACCGATTGTCCGTCGTCCACAAAAATATGTCTTTCAATATCACTTGGCTTTCGGTAGCTCATACAACCCTGCATAGAAACACTTATGTGAGTAGTAGCACCAGAGTCTAACCACCAAGTGTTTCTAGGTACTGAAGCTAAATTAACCTCAGAACAGACCAAAGTAAGAAACATACCCTTATTAGCACGCCAGACGTGATATTTGATATAATCATTCTTTACGTGTTCAGGCTTGTTACAGAAGAAATAACTCTGATTATCCTTATGTTGTTTCTTCTGAACTGGACCCTTAGCAGCTTCATTATCATTCTTTCTTTTCTTGCCCTTATCCTTAGAGGCATAAGCCAAATGAGCAATTTCTATCTTATCTTGCTTTAACCTGTCTTCTTCTTGCACACAGTATGAAATGAGCTTATTTAGAATATATTTCTCCTTTTGACAGTTATAACTAATCTTGAACTGACTGAACTGTGCAGGAAGAAACAATAAAATCAGATGCACCAATAACTCATCATAAAGATCGAGTTTAAGTGCCTTAAGTTTTGAAGCAATATGAGACATTTCCATAATGTACTCACTGATATTTCCTTTGCGCTTATACTTCATCGAAATCAAGCGAGCTAAAAGCGTGCTTGTTTCTACCTTATCGTTTTTCGCAAAATGCTGCCCAATTTCGACAAGGAAATCTTTAGCATTAGTAATCCATTCGAATTCTATGCCCCTGAAGGCTTCCGGAACGCCACGCTTAATGATCATAAGACTCATGCGATTTGAACGCTTCCACTTCTCATACTCCTTCTTTGCATCAGGAGTGCTATCCACATTGAGAAGTTGAGATTGTTCAGTTCTTAATGCAAGGTCTAGATCCATGCAGCCAAGAATAATTAATATGTTCTCTTTCCAAACCTTGAAATTTGTCTCATTTAGCATGGGAATTGAGTTGATGTTAGCAGAAATTATTGCAGTAGATGCATTAGCTGAAAAACAAAAAAAAATGCTCACATTAATAACCATAATTAGTAAGCAATAAAATTCAAATAATGACAAATCTCATCCAAGATATCCGGTACAATATTAATATCAAGTCTTTGGACAGTAATATTAATTACAAGTGATATCTTGTTGCAATAATCAAACATTGACAATAACACATGTCAAATAATGAAACTATCTTTGGATCGATTCACTATCCACATGTAAACCTTATAATTGTCACATGTTTATCATCATAGATGTGTATGCAGTCTAAATAAATATTAACCTTCCTTTGGGCCGATTAAATATTTACACGAAAACATATACACAAACATCTGACATCCCTCATGATCAATCTACACAAGAGATGTTACTTTGGCAACTTTTTATTTCAATTAATCAATTGGAGTGAGAGACAACCTTAATACCTTAGTGTCATAAAATTTGAATTAAATAATTGATTAACTACCAAATCAAACTTAAATTAAATTAATTTAAATTTAAATTTCCATAGCTTAAATAGGGCCTCATTTATTAATTAGTTAAATTAAGCATACTAAAATTGGGCCCAACACCAAATAGAGTTAAGTGGGCTGTGCCCTAACTCAAATCGTTGCAGCCTTCTTCTTTCACCCGACGAAAAAGAAGAGCAATAGAACGAACGCGAGGTTCGTTTGAGAACGAACGCGAGGTTCGACTTGAGAACGAACGCAATGTTCGTTTGAAAATGAACGCGAAGTTCGACCTGAGGATGAACGCGATGTTCAACTTGAGAACGAACGCAATGTTCGTCTGAAAACGAACGCGAAGTTCGACCTGAGAATGAACGCAGGGTTCAACTTGAATAGAGCGCGAGGCTCGCCTGAGAACGAACGCGAAGTTCGTCTGAATCGAGCACGAGGCTCGCCTGAGAACGAATGCGAGGTTCATTTGAATTGAGCGCGAGGCACACCTTAGAACGAACACGAAGTTCGTTTGAATTGAGCGCGATGCTCACCTTAGAACGAACACGAAGTTCGTTTGAAGCTTTCAAGCCTCGCCAAAAATTGAGGTAACCACCTCCTTAATTCCCGCACGTTTTCACGCACGAACCCTTAGGGTTTCATTCTGAAACCGTCGCCGTCATTGCTCCTGCACCCAAGGTCAAAACCCTAGGGTTTCCTGAAACCGTCGGAGTCGAAAGCGAGGCCGCCAGCGATACTTCACCGGCGAGGAGCCCGGGACCGACGACCAAACAAAATAGATCCAAAAATTCCTCGATTTTATTTCAAAACCAGATCCAGAATCGAAAGATAACTTCTTGTTTCAGATCCAAAAAAAACAAAGGAAAAACCAATAAAAATAAAAAAACTTTACTGGTCATAAATTTTTTTACTGTTTATTTGAACAGTAACAAATAAAAAAACGTTACTGTTCATCCGTGAACAGTTCTTAAAAAAACACAAATTAAGATCAAAGAACCCTAATTTTAATCTTAATCTCTTAGAACAAATCACGGTGGCTCTGATACCACTTATTAGATCTAATATTTAAGATCTAAATCTTAAAGCCATGATTAATTCAAAGAGATTAACAAGAATCAAAAGGTACGGAAGCATATACCTGAATCCATTGAGGAAAACCTGATTAGGGTTTTGATGATCTTCTAACCTTACAGTTTCTTCCGCTTAAGATCTCTTTAGATGAGGATAAGAGAATAAGAGTGACTAACCCTATATTAGGGACCATAACCCCATATATATAGGTGTTGTACATTTGTAATTTGGCCCCTCATCAAATTACAATTACAACCTGGTATCTGCACTTGTACATTTGTAATTTGGCCCCTCATCAAATTACAATTACAACCTGGTATCTGCACATATAACCTCATGATTTATTTAAATACTCATTAACCATTACAATTACAACCTGGTATCTGCACATATAACCTCATGATTTATTTAAATACTCATTAACCCAAATTGATTGATCACTTTAAGTAGATTATCCTTAAAGTAGATTATCTTTAGATGGGGGTGTTTGTTTTGTTTTTTTTTTGGATATAGGGTGGATTTCAAGTTTTGGGATGTAAAAAGTGCTCTTTTTGAGTTTTGGGATTCCATAAACTTTGTTTGTTTCAAAATTAATTTTGGGATATTGAATCCCTAAATTATAAACAAATAATATATTTTTAGGATTTGTGAAATCCTCTCTTTTGTTTTGTCCTTTTTTTGGGATATAAGGTGGATTACAAGTTTTTTGGGTTTTAGAATTCCATAAACAATGTTCGTTTCAAAACCAATTTTGGGATATTGAATCCCCAAATTATAAAAAACTATTATATTTTAGAATTTGTGAAATTCTACAATTGAGAGAGGATGTAGGTTGGATATTGATGTATTAATGCTAATAATATAAGATTAATATATTATATATAATATTATAGTAATATAATATTTAATATAATACATCTATTCCTCTATAATAATAGGAGGACCCAAGAATCACTGTTCATGCTATAGTAAATGCTGCAGTAAATTACTGGTAGCAATTATAATATATATATATAATAATATAATATATATATTATATATATATATTATATATATAATATAATATATAATATAATATATATAATATATATACATATATAATTATAATATATACATATATATAATATATATAAATAATATATTATATATATATATATATATAATAATATATATATATATTTATTATATATAATATAATATATATAATATATATATATAATATATTTATATTATATCTATATATATATATTATTTATTATATATATTATATATCATGTATCACTGTTTCATGCTGTAAGTAAATGCTGCAGTAAATATAATGTAGGTAATATTACATATATTATATATATATATATATAATAATAATATATATATAATAATTATAATAAATATAGGAGGACCTAAGAATCACTGTTCACACTGTAGAATTGCTGTAGTTAAATTACTGTGAACATGTATATATATTATATATATTACATATATTATATATATATTATATACAATATATATTATATATAATATATATTATAAATTACTATAGCATTATATATATTATGTATATTACATTTAATATTATATATGTATATATATTTATATAATATTATATATAAGATATATAATATAATACATATAATATATATTATATTTATATTATATAAATTATATAATAATATAATATATATATAAATAATATTATATATAATATATAAATATATATAGGAGGACACAATAATCACTTCTGTTGTATAAATATTGCAGTAAATTACTGCTAGCAATTTAATATATTATATAAAATATTATATATATATATATATCTAATATATAAATTATATATATTATGTTATATATATAATATATTATATATTATATCATTTATATGTATAATATCAATATATATATAGATATATAAATATATAATATATTATATATATATATAGATATTATATATATATATATATATATATATATATATATATATAGGAGGACCCAAGAATCACTGTTCATGCTGTAGTAAATATTACAGTAAATTACTGTAGCAATTTATATATATTATATATAATATTATATATGTATTATATATTATAATATATAATATAATATATATGTATATATTATATAATATATATTATATATATATAATATTTAATATATCTATAATATATATATATATATATATATATATATATATTATATACATTATATAATATATGTTATTAAAATATTATATAATATTATATAATATAATTTATAGTATTCCAAATCCCAAAATATTGATGAAACAAACAAAATATTACAAATTATAGTATTCCAAATCCCAAAATATTGATGAAACAAACATAATATTACAAATTTTGGTATTCCAAATCCCAAAATATTGATGAAACAAACAAAATTTTAGAGATCCCAAAACCCACAAAAAAATTTATGGATTTCAAATTCTATGGTGAAATCCATATCCATAAATTTTAGGATTTGAAACAAACACCCCCTAATCATATGTGCCCACAAATAGATTTAATTAGATTTAAATCCAACAGTTATTCCAAGCATCAAATTGTCCTCCATCGAAGAAACAAAAATACTTTACTTAGGGGCTGTAGAAAGTTTACACTGAAACACTGAACACAGGATTGTCTTAGGAAAGAAAATTAGATTGTTACCGAAATTAAAAATAGCAAGGATGCGTAACAAGAGATAAACTCAAATACAACGGAAATACAGAGAACATAGATTGACAAAATGGCCCTACCAGCAATGCATTCAAGTTTGTCATATATAACAACCATATGACTTTGTTCCAAGCAGATACTAAACGAAACATTTCACATAACAATCTTATAGACAATCTTACAAAATCAAACCAATTATTTCAACAAAATGAGAGAAATTTGGCACTCTATAAACCTAGATAGTTCTACGCTTTCCTCCAAGTAACATGCTAGTCCATTGACACTCGTTGACCCTGTTTGGATACAAGAGTTGGAAGTTGAAAGGTAAAGCGAGATCCATTTGCCCGTTGCAGAATTGAGTTTATGGTTAGTTGTTCCAATAGAAAGGTGTATTCCTAAGTCCCACCTTCTTACCACGTGATGGGTGATTTTTCATTTTTTTTGAAAATGACAAATATATCCTTCATGTCAAAACATGCGTTGTGGGGCCTTTAATTTCTTTGCCAAATTTGTACCTAATTATATTATGTATTCAACTAGTTTGATTTATGGGTTTTTTTTATAAAAAAGACCTTTTTTGCTAAATAATTAACAAAATCGACCATTTTGCTAATTATTTAGTAAAAACAACCTCTTTTTGGCCAATAGGCCAAAAAGAGGTCGTTTTTAAAAAAACAGCTTGCTCGAGACACACGGGATTAGTAGTCTCGTATGTTTTGTGTGTACTAATTGCGCATTAAAAAATAACCAAAACATACGGGACTACTAGTTCTGTATGTTTTGTTTATGATTAGCAAAACTCATTACCTCCTCAACTTCTTCACAGGCATCGCTTTCCTTCCCCTTCCTCCTTGTCCTCCCCCAAATCCCATTTTCCCATCAAATCCCTCCCTAATCAAAACCCTGCCCACACCCACACCCACCCCCTTTCTTGACCCCACCACCCTCCACTGCATCCAAACCCTAACCTCCTTCCACCTCACGCATTGCCTCCCCTCCGGTGCCTCCCTCCGCATCCGCCCGATGGGCCCCCAAGAACTGGACCCCCACCATCACCTTCCTCGCCGAGTCTTTGTGGATGTTGTCGGGGTACGCCAAGCTTCTTGAATTCTTGATAAAGCAATACGTTGTTGAGAGGAGAAATTTGGTTCCACATGCTGTTCTGCTTGTTGGGGTTTACAAGGAGGAGGAGAGTGAAGGGGAGCTGGCTTGTATGGCTGAGGTTTCGTTTGATGTGAGGGGAGTGAACAAAGATCCTCTGACGCCGGTGGCACCGAGGAATTGTCCTTATGTTTGCAACATGACTGTGAAGAAGAAGTTGAGGAGGTAATGGGTTTTGCTAATCACAAACAAAACATACGGGATTAGTAGTCCCATATGTTTTGGTTGTGATTAGTGCACACAAAACATATATGACTACCAGTCCCGTATGTCTCGAGCAGGTTGTTTTTTAAAAACGATCTCTTTTGGCCAAAAAGAGGTCGTTTTTTGCTAAATAATTAGCAAAACGGTCGATTTTGCTAATTATTTAATAGAAAATATCTTTTTAAAAAAACTCCTTGATTTATCTGCAAAAGACATGCGTGCGCGCGCACTGTACAATATACAATTACACATACATATACATATAAATATATGCACGCACAATGTGTAATTGTTGTGTGCATGTGACCACGTCTATTTGTATGTTTTACAAAATTGGTCAGGTTCAAACCCTGGATATATTTCATTTTTTAAAATAAGTTATCTCAACATTATATGGCTTAAATGGGACAGCCCAGGTTGATCTAATTTAAGTGGGATTGATGCGGGTCAAATGAATATACTTGTTCAATAAATAGGTCGGATACGAGTCAGCTATAATTGGATCAACCTGACAATGACCCAGCCCAAATATGACCAGAAACAACCCCAATTACCACCCCTAGTGTCCACCAAGCATCTTGGCCAGTGGATACAATCATATGCATGTCGACACAAGGATTGGTAGACTCCAACTCTGTGTCTGTGCTATATAGATCAAAACATAGCTTAATGTATTCATGCAAAAGTCAGCTCTTTCATACAGCAAGAAAGAAGAGTAAGATATATGATTCTTCCTAAATTTCATTGCAAATGCTAATCATGAAACTAAAATTAGAATACATTGGTCGATATTAGAGACAAGTTCAAAGAGGCTTTTTGTGGCTGAAAATGGAGCGAACAAATGGAGATGTACTGTTTCCGGGAATCCGCCCCCCCCCCCGCCCCGATTCCAAAGTGCTTGCGATTTCATCAGAGAGCATATTTGGGGAGGTGAATTGGTTTCCTACTGTATGGGGAAGACGAGGCATTCTTAGTCACTCTTTTATTGCTTGGTTAGTAGCTCTAACTAGAATTAGAACAAAAGATTGGATGCTTAAGGTTGGTATACTACAAGATGATAGATGTGTCCTTTGCAATAATGGTGCAGAAAGTAGGGACCATTTGTTCTTATTGCTATCCTTCAGGTGATCAAATTAAGGACCCCTAATAGAGGTTTTCAGTTCTTAGAGTGGTTTCAGAAGACGGTTAAAGGAAAGAAGAAGATGGGCTGCTTAAGGAGGGGATTATTGTTAGCTACCATGTACAGAATCTGGCAGGAGAGGTACTAAAGGTTGTGTAAGTCTGATCCTCACCCTCCTAGCTGGGTTGTTCATAATTGTATTGCAGATATGAAGTGTAAATTGAGTAAGTAATTGAGTAAGAAGGTGCATAGGAGATTATCACATAGGATTTTTTTTTGTTGCTGCAAATATGAGTTCTTGATGCTTGCAATTTATGAGTATCTTAGGTGAGGTGTCAAACCTGGGAATGCCTGGTTATCATTGTAAAGTTTGTTAAGCAATGAAAAATAAATTACCTTCTCCACCCACCCAAAAAAAAGGAAGAAGAAGAAAAGGAGAGAGAAACTCTACGCACAAGCGATATCTTCATATATAAATTCAAGTTTATTTTACCTTTGCTGAGTAAGCACAATTTAACACACTGGTTTAACTATCAGACGCTCAGAAGAAGAAGAAAAGGAGAGAGAAACTCTACGCACAAGCGATATCTTCATATATAAATTCAAGTTGATTTTACCTTTGCTGAGTAAGCACAATTTAATACCCTGGTTTAACTATCAGACTCTCGGGTTTCCATATGCGAAGAAGCTGATCATAAAATGAACAAGTAGCAACAAAGGACCCTCTTTCGGTACTAGCTTGCACACATTCTGTTCTTTGCCAGTCAGCTCCATATGCTAATGACTCATGCTTGGTATAAGATTCCATTATATCTGCACTTTCATCTCCAACCCTAACAATAGCAAAACCATTGTGCATGCACGCGGCCAAAACAAGGCCTTCAATTGAAGGATGATTTTTAAGCCTCCAAACTCCTCCCCCTAAACAAAGAGAATATTTGCTCACAGGCTTCGACATTGACCGTAGATCCCAGACTCTGAGGAACTCATCATAGCTTCCAGTGAGAAGTATATTGGAATTCATAGGACTCTGAGCAAAACAACACACACCCATCTTATGTGACTTTGCATTTTGAAACACCAAACTTGATGGGTCCTCTCGTAAATCCCAACAATTAAACCGACAGTCATCTGAGCCAGTATATAGTAACTGTGGGGTGCTGATATCAAAAGCTGTTGCCCAAACTTCGTAGCCATGTGCAACCCATGACTGAGAAATTTGAAGTTGGGATTCTCTCACAGAGGCGATACATATAGAGCCATCTGAAAGGCCAAGAGAAACTGAACTAGATGATGGATTCCAGTCCACACACAAGCACATTGCGGGACTTACCTTTTCTGTACATACTTCACTTAGATCAATCCCTGCATTCAATTGATTGTTTTTGTCATGCAACTTCAACTGAATGATATGTTCATAATTCTGGTAGAGAAAATTAAGGAGTAAAAATGTTAAGGCCCTCAACTTTTAAGTAAGAAATAAGACTATCAAGTAATCAGCAACAGAAAACCTAGTCCTAATTACTGAAAAGAGTGAGAGTGGTTGGCTGAAAAATATCCATAATTAACCAATTAAAATAGTAAAAAAAGGCACTAGACAACCAAGTGGCGTATGCAGAATTACAGGTAGACAATATCAGAAAAAGAAGTGTTATTTGCAGATAGACCCTCTACAATATCAACCAACTGCTGATAGAGCCCCCTACAATATCAACCAACTGCTGATAGACCCCTTGTAGTTGTATTGCAGATAGTCCTCCTGAATGAATCCTTTTTTACTCTTCCAGTTTCATCCTCAAAGAAAGAGAAATTTGTTGACAGATAGACCTCCTGAAGGCAAAAGAATAAAAAATTCACTCAGGGGTCTATCTGCAACAGTCAAATTACAGGGGTCTGTCTGCAATTGAGTGATAGTACAAGGGGCCTATCCGTACTTAACCCGAGAAATAGACAACAATATATGCAACAGGTTATAAAGAACTATAATGAGACAGAAGCAGAGCTAAAATGAGACAGAAGCAGAGCTAAGGAGTTTATAATGATTTATACTAAAACCATAAATAAGAAAATGAAAATTATAAAACGACAATTATTACCAGAAGTTGAATTGTCGTTCAACTGTAAACAATAAAGAGTCAAACAACCATCAGCATCAGCTTGAGCAAGTAAAGGATGCTCAGTGGATCCAGGAGCATTCCATTTTATATCAAAAACACCAATAGTTTGTATGCGATGGAGCAACTCAAGGCCCATATTAGAATCAGCAGAGAAAAGTGATATGCTTCCTGAACGATTTGGACGAGTGCCCTCTTCTAGTGTGTATGTCGCAGCAGCCAGAATGTGGTGGAAATTTTGCTGTGGGCAAAATTCAACCACATCAGCATTCCCATCCAATTTGCACGAAGCAACATCCATTCTGCAATAGCTGGTACAAAACGAGTGATTTAGGGGAGTCGCCAATATAATGTATAAGCACTTAAGCGGACACTGTCCTATGGACACTTTAAAATATAAGAAACAAATATCCCACTGCACCAGATGCGTGCATGAGAATATGAATGAGTGACGTAGTTGAATTGTCAATGAAAATAGTTTTTAGATTATCTTTTGGACTTTCCAAACGTGAGGGCATTTCCATAGTCTTTTCCAAGTGTGAGGGCATTTCTGTAACTTTTCGCAAGTGTGAAGACATTTCTGTAGTTTTTTCCCAAGGGCGAAGGCATTTCAGTAGTTTTAGCGCGAGGGAATTTCCGATATTCTAAAATGCAACTCACAAACCAAAAGGGGTGCTTCTCTTAAATATATAGCAATAGTATAGATCTACTGCTAAAAGTAAGAAGTTAATTCAAATGCATCGATAAGATGAGATTACTAATGTGATAACAATATACAACACAAAGTATACATTGATGGTTACATGGTGGTAGATATATTTCGAAATGCAACTTTGCAAAAATTCATTGAGTTGGTCACATCCTACTCCTTAATTTCATATATCCAAGATTGTTTAGTAGGCTTAGCTTTAGCCTTCATTGAACTATTAACTACAATCTTAATACTTAACCTAATTACACATACTGAAACCATATCAATCTTTTTTTGGATAGATAAACTGTATAAATCTTTAATTCTATCATTAGTAAAGGGTGCCTCTAACATCATATACATCGATTAGTAGATAGTGGGCATAATAGTATGCATACCATTGCACTTATCATAATCAAGCATCACAACTTTTTCATGCTAATATTATCGAACAGTTGGTGTGCAATTCTCTCCTAGCATTTTATCCAAAACCCCAAGGCATCTACAGAGTTCAGAAATCAATATCGAGAACCTAATAAAGTCGGTTTAAAACAAAAACTGGAACTCAATGTTAAAAATTGGAACTTCAAGTTCAAATCAAAATTGGAACCTGGTGAAGATGAAACTTTGCTAGAGCAATTGCAATTTAAACTCCATTACAATTCATTTCTATTGAAATTGCAACTTTACGCTCACATTTGCATAAGTTTTGGGCTACAGCGCAGAACTTGTTTGAATAATCCAGTTGCATTTCAACTACAGTTAACAATTCTCATGTTGTAATTCTTAATTCCTTCAGTTGATCACCAATTTCATCCCAAATATATATACTTGAAATTAGCTATATATGCAGAGTTTAAGTAAATTTACACTACGAAATAAAAAGGTTGAGGAACAAGAACTCGCCTGATTTCGTGAACCTAGAGAAGCAGCTAACTGAGCTAAGGAATCCACAGAGGAGGGCGTTTTTGGTTTGCTTGCTTTTGAAGAGAGGTTTGGGTCGGGCTCAATTCTTCTAAAAAGTTAAAGGCCCAACTAGAAGCCCTAATTGAAGTTAGGGAGTTTGGACTTGGAAAATGTCTTTTGCCTTTTACATTTATTCCCGGGTTATTTGTAAATTAAATTAAATAAGATAAAAATTAAGAAAACGAATGTTGGCGTGCATGTTAATCTTTTCATGTAACTATTGAGGTTATGTTATACTTATTAAGTTCATGGTGCACATGTTAAGATTATGGTGTGCTTGTTAAGTTTGTACTATAATTGTCAAAAATGAATAAGTATATTTTTTACGGTACTAGTCCCTTAAAATCTATAGTATTAAAAAATCTGTCTATGAAATCACTGAAATTGGCATTAAGTCCTCTAGTTGTTGATCTAATTCCCAATGTTGGAGGTATTATGTTTAGAACGCTTTACAAATGTGTTTATGGAGTATCTGTGCTGGTAGAAGGCCGAATGAGATCTTGAAAAAGGGATTTTGATTTGTAATGAAGAAGGAGTTATATCTTCTAATACCCGTGGCGGACCCACCCTATCGAAAGTGGAGTCACGTGACATTGCTTCCTCAAAGCCTCCTTGTTATACATTCATATCTCTTGATTCTCATAAAGAAACCTGTTGGACCCTAGAGGGGACGTGATTAGGGTCTTATGCTAATCTAATCCGATTTTTTGCCAATTAAAATTTATTAATAAAATTATTCTTACAAGATAGATATACAATTTGTTATGAGCAAGAATATACAATATGAACAAAGAGATATATCCTAGCAAAAAGGTATATGATGAAATATATGCAATGATATATAAATTAACACAAGGGTAAACAATCTAAACTAAAGATACAATTATGATAGGGCAATATAAACAATGCAAACACACAATATGATCACGGAGTTCGGACATTCCGTCCTACGTCTCCGCTCCCCATTCCCGGGGAGAAATCCACTATCACAATTGGGTTTTCTACGCTAACCCGAATAACGTTTACACCACACAATATCGGTTTTCAACGCTCACCGATCAACGATCACAATCTCACAATGTAACTACACTCCACACGCTCTAAGTGTTGGTTTCTCCGTGTCCTTCCTCAAGTGCTTGGATACAACATCTCCCTAGGTTCGTCAACCGACGCCACTCCTCTTGGAAGCAACCCCGTCTCTCACCACACATTCCTCTCGGTGTACTAGTATAATACAAAGTGAATCTCACAATTAAATCTCACAAATCAAATGATTGTTCTCTAAACAAGGTAAGAACTCAATTAAGCACAACTCTTAGTCACAAACCCACAACCCCAAATTATACTATGAATGTAAATACAATAAGCTCAATAGGTTGTGTGTGAACAAAGAGATAAATTATACTATGAATGTAAATACAATAAGCTTGACTTGGTACACTTACGGAAGAAGCTTGAACTTGGATCTTTAACTTGAATTGCATTGCTTCACTCCACAATTTCGCCAACCTCCATTTGATATGATCGTGAATGCTCGATTCCATCCATCCTCCAACATATTGTTTGCCTAGAATAAATATAAAACACAAACACTAGACAAATAATATTAGATGTAAATTGTTTGTTAAATCATCATCAAAACAAGAAGACCAACAAAACCATGTTCTCAAATTTACCCAACTTAAGCTCAAATAGGGGGCGTCCAACTATACCGTAATAACGCATGTCCCATGGGCATGTATCTTGAACTAATTCACAAAATTGTTAGCTCGTGCAATTGATATTCTTGGGACTTAATTGCACTTAATACCCTATAGTTTCTCTTACTTGTATTTATATACTCTCAATTGTTTTTAGCAGCACTTGTATACTGTAAAGATTTTAAAACTTTCACTTATATACCATCACTTGTTTTTTTGCAACAATTATATACCCTAAAGTTTTTAAAATTTGCACGTAAATACCCTTATTTGTTGGAAAATTTATAGTAAAAAGAATGAAAGAAATTTGATTTGTATTCTCTCGATCTTAATTATAATTGGATTTCCTGTTACAAAAGAGAGGAGAATGAATTTGATTCTCCCCTTTGTTTAATTCTGGGTTCTTCACGGTGGCGATGAAGTGCCTCCCTCGAATGCTCGCGTCGAACTCTGGACGAGTTGATAACTCAGATCGAGTTTAACTCTAAATGAGTTTGAACTCTTAAAAAAGAGTTGATTTGAACCGAAAGTTCAGTTAATCAGCCAAGGGAATGCTCCAAGGACTTTGTTGCTGTAGAAAGCTCCAAGATGCCCGATCAAGGATCCCCAAAAAGTCAGCCAAAAAGAGGATCCGAACTCAGTTGAGTTTCCCACTATTTATATGGGATTTAGGGGTGTAACTGCCCTCTTAAATCTCTCCTTAATGAGGGTTTAATAGGGTGTAACTGCCCCCCATGAATCTCTTCATGATAGGGTAGTGATCCCCTCAAATCTTGGGGAGAAAACGGTTCTGGAACCGTTCAAATCGTATTTGAATAAGTCAAACGCTGAAAACAGCGTTCTGGGCCCGAACTCTGCGTTTTAGGCCTAAAACGCACAGTTGGGCCTGTTTTAGGCTGAAAACGCACAGTTGGGCCTGTTTTAGGCTGAAAACGCACAGTTGAGCCTGTTTTAGGCTGAAAACGCACAGTTGGGCCGCGCAGAGATGAACTCTGCGTTTTGGGGTTATAACGCAGGTCCGACCCGTGCGTTTTGATGTTACAACGCTGGTTCGAACCGTGCGTTTTGATGTTATAACGCTGGTTCGACCCGTGCGTTTTGATGTTACAACGCAGGTTCGACCCGTGCGTTTTGATGTTATAACGCTGGTTCGACCCGTGCGTTTTGATGTTGCAACGCAGGTCCGACCTGTGCGTTTTGATGTTATAACACTGGTTCGACCCGTGCGTTTTGATGTTGCAACGCAGGTCCGACCCTTGCGTTTTGACTCTGTAATGCAGAGGTGAACCTTAGGCGGGCTTGGCAAGCTTCAGGCTAAGTCCAATGTTCTGACGAAGTCCAGTCTTGCAGACGGACTTCAGAACATAACTTGTTGCGAAGAACAGGTCATAACTTTCAAACCGTAAGTCGGAATTGGATGAATTATATATGAAAATCAGCTATCTCGACGAGACGGAGCCGACCAAACTGACCCCATAGGGTTCGGTTTGTTCCATCGGTTTTGCCAAATTCCTTACTGTTTGAGAGATATCTGTGTTTTAATATGAAGAGACCGTCAATTTGTAGTCTCTTTTGCTAGAGCGTTGCAAAGATCGTCACCTTGTAACCTTCATCTTGGCTCCTTGAAAATCAGATTGTAACTCCCGATGTTGATTGTGAAGGCTGTTGAATTAGAGCTTTCATTAGTTGTTGTGAAGGTCGTCAGATTGTAACCTTATGGAAGTCGTCAAATTGTAACTTCTGTCATCGGTGTTTGATGAGGATAAGATATCTGTTGTGATTTTTAGACAGCCTACAACCCTAAAGTTAATAGAAGTGTCACTTAGATACTCTCAAGTTTGCTTTACTAGGGTATTCAAGTGCAAATTTTAAACCTGGAAGCGGCACTTGTTGTGAGGGGTAGCCACCAGGCCCGAGCAAGATTAGTCTCATTTTCAATGTAGGA